CCTTATTCACGTGCGCACGTGCGGCACGATTTTTGAAAGGCCAAAAACAATTTCCCTTGAGAGCATCACGTGGTCTGAATTGGGTAAACAAAACCTACAAGCTAAAAAGGTATATTGTCAGAACTGAAACAAAGTAACCAAAAAAGTCAGTGAATGATGTTAAACCTGAGATCATCTAACAGTGTAAGTGTTCGGCCTCGGGGTAATGCGAGCGAGCGTACCAAAACTAGATCCTATTTTGGTCCTGCTTGATTTACGGAGGTAATCGACGACATTTCTAACACCCAAAATATTAATCCTTCTCTTATTAACAAAACGTAGAAAACGTACATACAAACAGGCTTGCTAGTAAAAACAAAACCTAGAACCAAGAAAGTTGAATTCCTGGGTGTGCCTGTTCAATAAAATAAAATGGCTAAAACCAACCCACCTCCCTCTACACAAAAAATATAATGATTCATATTGCATCGGATGACCCCAACTAGCTATAGAGAGCGATAAGACGTTATGATTTTCTTAATTCTCGTTACCCTTTTTCTTGAATGTATACTGCTGTTGTTCGGAGAGAATTGATGTTGGTCATTCTGAGGACTGATTGCTGTTGAGTGTAAGTGAGACACGATGGTGATACAACTTACAGGCAGTGGGAAGAGACTGTGTTACCAGTTACCTGAAACGTTTCATTCAAATACGATTATGGTGGTCGTGTGTCCAACTGTGTCTTTAATAAATGTTCAACTTCAAGAACTCCTGGCACTGTAAAGGAATTGAGGGTGCCTCAGTAGCCCCGTCATCAGGCTGGAGGATCTAAACTTCAAAGCGGGGATATTTTTAACGCAGCTCAACTTCCTTCTTTACTATTCACAACTCCAGGATATTTCGTTGCAAAACTGAAGCCCGAGTTCATAAAATTTCAAGATACACTGAAAGTCATCGTTTTGGATGAGATTCACAAAATGTCTAACAGAAGAGCAATGAATTTCGAGAGTGCTAGGATTCGAAAAAAAGTCACTAAAAGATGAATTTCCTGACACTCCCATATTAGCGTTGACCGCGACTCTCAGCGACCAAGTCCGAAATAAGATGTGTTGAGAGCACTTCCGTAGACCTGTACTTATACGAAGCCTGATTTCAAAGCGTAGTCCGTAGTCCGCGAGCGCAATCCATTCAACCAAAATTTCCAACCGACCCAACCGGACCAAGTGGTCTACCTCAAAAGGTGAACCGAGCCGTTCCATTGATTTCCGGTCATTTTGGTTGAATGGATGGCGCCCCATATTTTATACTTAATCCGTGTTTTTTACCCAGTCCGTAGTCTGTGCTTTATATTGACCTGTTAATTAATAACGGCTAAGTAGACATTCTCCTTATATACAAACGAGAAATTAAGCGGCTAATTAACGGCTTATTAGACATTCTACATAATTTATATACAAACAAAAAATGTAGCCATTGATAAACGGCTAAAGAAACATTCTCCTTAGAGACAAACAAAAACTTTAGCCTTTAATTCAGTGAAAGGCTAAGTAGACATTCTACTGATATGCAAACGAAAAAATAGCCATTGACAAACGGCAAGCAGTATTTTCCGCTCGAGAACACTAATAGGCCCAGTTCAGACGCCGAACTTTTCATGAGCCGAACTTAATTCGCATTTGGACCGACCCAAATTAAAAAAAGTACGCCTGTTGATTCAGACGCCGAACTTAATTCGCCGAACTTAATTCAGTTTGAACTGAAGCAACTCGAAATGTCAGCGGTTTTCAGGCCAATTGTAAAATACGTTATAATAATTTATGCATTAGGTTCGGCACATGAAAAGTTCGGCGTCTGAAACAAAGCCGTTCCAAAGGCGAAATTCCCGGCTGAGCCAGGCGGGAAGAACGGCTGAGCCGTTCCAAATTCAAATAGCCGTTCTTAACTGATTCAGACGCCGAACTTTTCATGTACTTAATTCAAGGTATTAGGTTCGGCTCGTGAAAAGTTCGGCGTCTGAACTGGGCCTAAGGCGTTCCTCTGTATCACCATTTACACTGAAAAAAATGCCCAATCTGGCCCAATGTTCGAGGAAGCTTGTTTAACTTGAATTCGCATTTAGCGACGGCTTTGTACGGCTTTGTCGGTTTATGTACGGTGTAAAACGGCACCAGTTACGTCATAAGGAATAAAACAAAGAAAAACACTGATCCCACGTGTTGACCGTTTTGCACCGCACAGAGCCGCTTTGTGTGTCAAATTAGTTTGTTTGCTAATAGTTAGGCTGCGCCGCAGACACTTTAAACCTTGTTTATAGCGACTGCGAATTAGTGCACAATATCGTGTTCGAATCCCGCAGAGTCGCAAGGACATATGTGAGCTTCTTTGTTTGGCTAGATAGCGGCTAGTTAATTACGCAATTTGTGATTGGTCTGACTTTCGCGCAAGATCGTGACGCTTTTTTGTGACGATGTCCAGTCCGATCTGAATGCTTTGAAATCGTATCCCCGATATTTGCAAGTGAATACCTGAATAACTGTTATCATATGTCTGATTCGTTACTTTACTGATGTTTATGTTTATGTTTATGTTATGTTTATGACATGGAAAAGAGTTACGAACGGGTAAACTTGGAAAGATGTAAGTAGGATTTCGACTCGCTCGCCGAAATCGAGATCCTGCTGATCTTGCACCTCGACAGGAAGTACATATGCAGATAGTGTGTTGCGAAACTAAAAAATAACGTCGTGGACTTATCATCCAAAAAGCTCAAGAAGAATCTGAGTTAAAAAGTATCCACGACAAAGCAAAGAGAATAGGAGATGAGTCATCAGAGAGCGGTGTAGATTCACATCGGCAAAAAGGAAATCATAACTACAAGACTAGAGCCGCCAGATTTATTGAGCACAGCTCCTGCAGCGATTAGGAGACACTGGAAAATCAAGGATTTTCCGTAACCGATCGGCAAATTTATAAACACGTTCCGGCCTTCAAGTTATTCTTTCAAAGAATTTTCCTTCTCAATTTCGAATTGCTCGTTCACTGCTTTTTGCCAACTTTACTCAGTAAATTTTGACATACTTTGGCATGCGGTCACGCGCACGCGAGAACTGGACCAATCAGGAGGTGTGTAAGAAACCCGCCTATCAGAAACGCTCACATATGTCCTTGCGACTCTGCTGGATATCAGAACGAGCTTTTGTGCACTAATTCGCAGACGGACTATATCCATACTATACGCGATACGTGGGCCGGTTGCACCGCAGGCTAGCTAATAGTGAGCTCACAAAGAAATATAATACGATGGCACGTGTAGTTCATAATACAGCACATTTATGTTTGCAGCCACAGCTTTAACTCCGACGTTAAACTTCCTAATTACACTTTTTATAGAGAACTTAAACAACTGACGACGATTCTCTGTTTTTTTTTTCCTGAACTTGGATATGGTCCTTACGAATTCAACTCTACGAAAATTCGCCAACATTTCACAAAATGAATAAGGTGGTATAATATAACGACGAAGTTTGAACATTCTCAATTACTTCCCACAGTAAAAGGCCTTATGAGGAATTCGAAAAAAAATGAAATTTCATTTTATATTAATGTGACATTTTCAAAATGTACAATGAAATAAAAATTGTTGATGATGGGAGTTGAAACATTGCAAGTTTAAGGTGACGCTCTTGTTACTGTCTCCGTCGAAATAGCCGCTGACATGCTCCCTATTAAACTTATAAACTAAAATTTTTGAGCAATCAGCTTTGTAGAAATAAAACGCTTCTTCGCTCCCTTAGTCCGAAAATTAAAGTTGTGATTTTGTCAATTCCTATGACGCATTTACGGAAGCCTCTTCCAAGGTTCATATCCAATTTCGGATTTCGCGTTCCTTTCGGCCGTGAAATCTGGCAAACCTTGGACCAAAAATCCGTTTTTTGGATTCTCCGAAAGGAACTGCACACCAAGGCTTAGTCATTGACTAACGGCTAAGTAGACATTCCCGGCCCTTATATACATGTACAACAAACCGAAGATTTAGCCGTTAATTAATGGCTAAGTAGACATTCCCCTTAGTATACAAACCAAATTAATGGCTAAGTGCACATCCTCCTTATAGACAAACCCAAAATTTAGTCGTTCATTTAATGGCTAATTAAATAAACATTGTCTTTATATACAAACAAAAAATTTAGCCGTTAATTAATGGCGCAATGAATTTTTTTTGTAGATAATACAAAGCCTATACTTTATTGCTAAATTTGTTATTTAACTGCAAAGCAAATTTATTATTTGAGTTCCATATTGTTTTGGCCTCGAAGTTAGGGGGGGGTCGCACTAGAGCTAATTCTGTTCTGTTTGGAAAAGCTCCAATTTTGACCATATGATATGGTCAAAATTGGAGCTTTTCCTAATGCGACCCCTACGAGCAAAATTTGGAAAAATTTGTCAGTGGACCAAAAAGATCAAAGGCGCCGTAGTGTATGGGTGGGGCAGGCAGATTTTTCCAAAATCGCCTAAAGAAAACAAAAATTCATGAAACATTGCAACTGCGTGTTTACTTAGGAAAATTGATGCAGAGTAGGAGCGCACGAACATTTCATCATTGTTTACAAAAGCGTTTTATCAGTGTTTACACAAGAATTTAGCCTTGTTGTGTGGTTTCGTGTGCGACCAGAAAATGAGCCCAAAAAAATTGGTCAGTACCGATATTTTTGGGTCTTTCAGACCGACCAAAAAAAAAAATTCGCTCTAGTGCGACCCCCCCCCCTAAGTAAGTAAGAATTTGAGATGATTTATAATTCATCGGCTTTACCAGTAAAATATAGTGAACTCAACTTATCCCTGGAAAGAAAGCATTGACGCAAGACCGGTACCATACAAAAGTTAAAAAAGACCTAATAAACACCGGTTAACTTGATTCATTTTGGTGTGATCAACCGTAGCAACGCTGTTCTCTTATCTCAATGTAACTGAGTAATTCATATGTATTTTTTCATTCCTTCTGAGGGAGCAGAGACGACAAGATGTCGCACCAAGCGACTCTTTGGAGGGCAACGTGGTTGCTTTTTACAATGTTTGCTGTGTTTTCTGTAAGTTTGATTTTGTGCAATATACATTTTCTAGCGCTGTAAATTTTATTCCAATTGTTTTCAGGCTTAGAAACAAAGGCACAATTCACACTAGTTAATGTGTTATGTGTTCCTCATTTTTCACCCTTTCTGTTTCTTAGGAACACTCCTAAATTCCGATTCGATCCGGAATTCGAGGGCCACAGATTTGTTAGTCATTGACTATTAAGTGCTACCCTCGTTAAACAAAGTCAATGTATTTATTTTATTTATTTTTACTGATGCAGTCCTCAATATGTTCACCCACTCTTTTTCGTACCTTTTAGCACGGACGTACTTTTAACTTGTGTGCTATGGTACATTTTGATACACACATTTCGCTACCACTGTTGTATTTTGTATGTATGTTGTTTTGCCATGTTTGTTTTTGTTTTCGTTCTTTTTACAAGCATCATCGTAGTTCACACTATTAGTCAGTGAGCGTTCGCTAACTAGAGAGACTAATTGTTTTGTTGTTTTTAGTTGCTATTCATAATCTCAGTAACAATTGTTTGAGTGTATACATTATTAATTTGGTTTCAATTCCTTTGTGTTTCTAAAACAAAAGAACGACCTATGGCAATTTCCCTTTGTAATTTATGCTCCAAATCTTACAGTTGCGATGATCGTAGACAACACAGCACTGCGAGACGAATGACAATATTTTATCGCTTAAATTTTGTTAAAAAAAATTTCAGTAAAGCATACTTTAAAAAGTGAAGAGTGATCATCGCAGTAAATTTTCCAATTTAAGCAATTGGAAAGAAGAAGCCTGAAAAAAAAAAAAAAATCAGGGCTTCAACGGGATTCGAACCCATGACCTCCACGAAGCCGGTGCGATGCTCTACCAACTGAGCTATGAAGCCACACGTTGGGAGCGAGGTCAATTTATTAAGTTCATATCTTCCCGTGCAGTGAAGTGATGTGTAGTATATATGAAATAATTCATATTTGTACTGCGGTAGTAGATGAAAGTGAAGAGTGATCATCGCAGTAAATTTTCCAATTTAAGCAATTGGAAAGAAGAAGCCTGAAAAAAAAATCAGGGCTTCAGCGGGATTCGAACCCATGACCTCCGCGATACCGGTGCGATGCTCTACCAACTGAGCTATGAAGCCACACGCTGGGAGCGAGGTCAATTTATTAAGTTCATATCTTCTCGTGCAGTGAAGTGATGTGTAGTATATATGAAATAATTCATATTTGTACTGCGGTAGTAGATGAAAGTGAAGAGTGATCATCGCAGTAAATTTTCCAATTTAAGCAATTGGAAAGAAGAAGCCTGAAAAAAAAAAAAAAAAAAATCAGGGCTTCAACGGGATTCGAACCCATGACCTCCGCGATACCGGTACGATGCTCTACCACCGAGCTATGAAGCCACACGCTGGGAGCGAGGTCACTTAAGTTCATATCTTCCCGTGCAGTGAAGTGATGTGTGTATATATGAAATAATTCATATTTGTACTGCGGTAGTACATCACCACCGCACGGGAAGATATGAACTTAATAAATTGACCTCGCCCCAACGTGTGGCTTCATAGCTCAGTTGGTAGAGCATCCAACCGGTATCGCGGAGGTCATGGGTTCGAACCCGTTGAAGCCCTGATTTTTTTTTCAGGCTTCTTCTTTCCAATTGCTTAAATTGGAAAATTTACTGCGATGATCACTCTTCACTTTCATCTACTACCGCAGTACAAAGATGAATTATTTCATATACTACACATCACTTCACCGCACGGAAGATATGAACTTAATAAATTGACCTCGCTCCCAACGTGTGGCTTCATAGCTCAGTTGGTAGAGCATCGCACCGGTATCGCGGAGGTCATGGGTTCGAATCCCGTTGAAGCCCTGATTTTTTTTCAGGCTTCTTCTTTCCAATTGCTTAAATTGGAAAATTTACTGCGATGATCACTCTTCACTTTCATCTACTACCGCAGTACAAATATGAATTATTTCATATATACTACACAAAGCATACTTTTTTCCATCCATTTTGTCTTTGTTGCATCCCGATTTGTAGCAATTTTAGAAACATGAAATTCGATATTAATTAACGTTTTGAAACTTTGATGTTGCCAGGCTTACTTGATACTCCCCACGAATTGAATATCATCTCATAAGGCCTTTTGAAGCTGGTTTTCACTAGGAACATAAGCATAAGCATAAGCAACATACGCAAACGTACCCTTTGTTAGGACAAAAGGCACTAATTAACAACAAGTTACTGCGTCTGCGTATGTTGCTTATGCTTATGCTAATGTCCTAGTGAGAACCAGCCGTTACAGTGGGAAGTGTTTTAAGAATGTTACTTCTTAGACCAAAAATGTGATTTTCAATGTTCATAAAAATCAAGATATGACGATCGAAAGACTTCCAATTCCTCAAGACTCTAGTTGAGGACTTATGAAAGAAATTGAAGGTCAATTTTTCAACTGCTAATCGTTCCGTTTTTTAAGACCCTACTTATTATCAAATTTCTAGCTGATCCAGGCTAACAGATGTAATGATATGACACTGACCTGAATTTAAACTTTTGTGAACTATGCAAGTTTAACATATTAATTTTAACGCGAACTTGTATTTTTTTCTTAAACGAGTACCATCAATCGTAATTTTACTAAATATTTTCCCATAGAGAAACGGTGACGAGAATTTGAGAATCAACCCACCCTAATCAGTAGATCCAACTTCATTTACACTGACAATTTTGCACGCTTTTGTGTCTCTGTGTAATTTTTAACACTTTTCAGAGAGCTGTGACGTTCAAAAACATCTCAGTGCATCACGACGAAACCGATGAAAGCGATAAAATAGGAGAATTATTGGGGACATCGTTCCAGGCCAAATGGTTCACTGGCTTATCTAACAATATGTTAAGTGACATCTCATTTGCGTGGAGGAAACAAGGCACACGCTTTGATCCAATCGCCATTATTCAAAGTATTTCTGACCTACTGAAGAAGGAAAGCGAGGCACAAGGAAAGCCGTTGAACGACTGTTTCTATGAAAGCTTGACCGATTTGGAACGAGATCCTGACTTCATCCAACTGCTCAATGAGTTTAATGAAGGAATAAACAATGAAAGAAACATCATGACAATAGGTATGTTTCAAATATTGTTATTAATGGCATTATAAATTGGAAAAACTTTTACTATACCATATGTAATATGACCATTTCAAATAAAGTAGATACTGCATCATACCCCACAATGCTATACCATACTGTACTGTATGGTAACATACCATATCACACCCGGCACACCATACCATACCATACCATATCATACCAAACCACACCAAAACACCACACAACACGACATGTCTGACACCACACGCCACGCCCGACTACATTACATGCCATGCCACGGCACGACACGCAACGCCACGCCACGCCGCGCCACGCCACGCCACGCCACGCCACGCCACGCCACGCCACGCCACGCCACGCCAAGCCACCGGCGACACGACACGACACACAACACTTTTCTGAATCACGAAAGACTGAATTTGTCACTAGCAAAAGAAAATAAAACCAAAAATGTTATTTAGGCTGTTTTCCTTTTCGACAAAGACAAGTATACATTGCCCTGCGCACCCAAACTATCACTTTCTTTCTTTGTATGTAGGATCCAATTTGCCAGAACTTCAAAAAGATGATAATCCCATCAAAGATGTCGGTCTTAGGGGCGAAGTAATTACTGGCGAAAGTTCCGATGCAGAAAACGACTTGATAAGATACAGTAACTACATCTCAGGAGCTGGATCTACATTTGGTGGTTTTATGTCTGGCTTTCCAGGAGATGCCCAAAGTTTGGTCACAGGTAATTTTTGCAATAACATGGGCCTCTGTAAAAGAAAAGACCTTATATTCATATGGTCATTAATCAACTAGATATTAACTGGTTTTCTATAGAGTCGTTTTCTACGTTTATCGTTTGCGAACTGACGTATACACGTTTGTGAGCTGTCCGCTAGACGTTTGCGAACTGACCGCAGACATCTTAACAAATATAGATTCCTTTCGAAAGTAACTGCTTTCAGTCCAAAGTCGTTTGATCGAAGTTGATCGGCTATAATGCTTAGAAGAGGAACGATGACAATGATTGCAGAAAGATCTGTCGCGAGCACGAAGCTTTGGTAAATAACAGATTTTCCTAAACCGTCGGTAAAATGGATAAGACGTCTCTTCCAGAAAGCAAAGGCGCAACCTTAATCTGTTCGTTCTTCAAGTAAGCCTTCCGTAGCGTTCTGCTAAACGCACTTCAACTGCTTACTGCTTCTTCTAAACCTGAGACGAAATTTTGTGTGTCCGTCGATAGCAGTGACAACTGATGTGTCAGCATGTTAAAATTTGTCAAATGTAGATGACAACGTGTTCACAAGTGTTTAATGTTTCTTAGCCAATCCAGTTCTCCGATGCTGGGTCTGCGGGGAAATTTAAGCACGTCGGAGAGTGCAGTCACAGTTCCCGCCTCGGCCCGTTCACTCTCACCAGTCCCGCTGAGCCTAGACTCGCCCAAAAAAGGACTGCTTGCAGTCTAGAATCTCTAAAAATAGGCCGTTAGGTCATCGTCAAATTCGCTTCCAATTTCCCAAATTTTAGGGCGCGTCCAATGTGGCGGACGGCACGATCAAGGTAAGCCATTTTAGAGGCGCGCGTGCCTTCCGTGATTGGACTGTTTGTATGATTTTTTAAACCATTTCCATTAATATTTTTATCAAGGTAATTATGGGACAATTCCTTGTTTATACGCAAGAATCTATTTTCCCTGCAAATGCCAGAAATTTCACCACTAATTTCTGTGTCCATTAATCTCGTTAATAAAACTATTTGCACCCGGCTATAGACAAGAAGTGAACCTCTACCCAGCTCTCTAATTAACTGAAATATCTGATGAGGCGTTTTGTTATTTTTGTAGATATGATGGACAGCATGAATTATAAGGTCAATGCTCTGGAATTTAGACTGAAGCGGGACGCGAAGCTTGAGGCACTTAGAAAGCTGGATATGGAGATAGTAGTTGAAAATACCATTGAAACTGACTCAGATCTTCGAGCAAAGAGAGTAGGAATGAAAGACGTCCAAGACATAGTTGTCGACGAATCATTTGACAACATCAAGAAAGTCAGCGGTGCCAGTAATCAGCAGAAGTTGACCCAGCAGAACTTTAATACTCAGAAGAAAATATCACAGATGAAAGTAAGAGAATCAGCGAAGAAATATGCAAGAAAATTTATGAAAAAAGTCGGCAGTGGCATTGAGACATCTACTACAGCATTCAGTTTTGCACAAGGAGGGGTTGATGTAGCAGGTGGAAGTGACATGATCGACAAAGCTGAAGAACTAAGAAAGTCGGGAGCCATTTCAGAGGATGAATATGATACGATGATGAGAAATGGTCAGCTTCGAGTAGCTCAAGGAAGCTTTGGTCTCGCAAACGGTGTTAAGAACGTTGGTGAATTTGTCGGTAAAAGACTCCAAAAAACTATCGTAGATAAAGGTTCTAAAGCTGGGTTAAAGCTCCTGAAACAAGCACAACGGTTCGCACCAGTAATTGGTGGTATGATATCCATGGGAACAACTGCAACATCAATTGCCAAGAATGCAATCGCCGCGAATGATGCTATGATGCAAGGAAATGCCGGCAAGGCCGCCATGTATGGAGTAATGGCAGCTATTGATGTAATAACTTTGATTCTGGACGGAGCAAGCTTAGTCACAGACTTTGTATTCCCACCGCTATCACCAATCATTGACCTTGTCAGTACAGTCTTGCAAGTTGTCAACACAGTGCTTGGGTTCTTTGCTGACTTGATAGACTTCCGATCCACTAAACAAAGAGTGACCGACGAATTCAATGCTTACATCAATTCTGATGCGTTTAAAAAGTACGTAGATGACATGGCACAGACATACAAGAAACGAGGCTTTGATGTATTTACATACATTGTAGATGCAGAAGTGGCAGGTATCGAAGCTGACACCAAAACCCTGCGAGAAGTCTCCAAGAATATCAACAAGTGCCTCACTGATAAAGCCAAAGAGGATTTCAATAATCCACAACATCGCATAGCATTGCTAGATGCAACGTCTTTCGGCAAAACTTTAAAAGGAAGACTTAATAATGATGAAATTATAGCCGGTTTTGGTCCAGATGAAATCTTTGGCGACGAAGGCGATGACATGCTGTTTGGACGAGGAGGAGATGATACCATTTATGGTGGTCCAGGAAATGATTACCTCAACGGTGGAACAGGACGAGATGTTCTTCTAGGTGGAACAGGTGATGACATGATTAACTGTGAGCCTGCTGTTGATTTGAAATGTGAAGGAGGTGAGGGGGACGATACCTTAGAGTTATCTGGCGAATCTTTGATCTACGACGACAAATACTGGAAAGCCCCGTATATAACAATGGGCAAGCAATGGGAAATGAATCCTTCAAAAGTCTCAGCAGTTAAGGGGATTTATCTTGATATGAGACATGCAAAAGGAGACACAAAGCAGGGATTATCGGGGATCAGTTTGGGATCCCTCTTTCAAGGTTGGCCTGATGGATTTGATGAGTCCATTCATAAAGCAGCAATACCGCAAAATTCAGAGCTCCACTCTCTGTTTACTCGATTTTACGCCTTTTTGCCGTTTGTACCTCTTGACAACTGGAGGGAGAAACTAAAAAATAAACAGATGTGGTTCTTAGCTGATAAGGGTATGGCAAAGTGTTTCTTTGATGGAAGTTCCATGTATTTAGCTTATGGCAGCGGCAAAGACACCAAGTTCGTGAGTTATTGCCAAAATGTACTCCAAAATCTGGACACAACATTTGCTGTTTATAAGAACGATCGTTTACAGTACACAGACGGTGAAAAGATTAAGGCTCTTTTGACATTTGCTTTTAAAAGAAGCTTTTTATCTGACAAGTTTGAAAAAGTAGCTGGCTCACCACCTTCTGATCTCCTAAGCCCATCAAATTACATCCCTACAACTATCATCGGTGATAACGAACATAACGTAATTGACTTGTCTTATGGTCTTGGTGACGTAGTTTACACTAATAAAGGAGACAACGTTGTTTCTGTTGGAACGACTATGCCAGAACATCAAGTGAAGGTTGACGGATTTCCTGACGGGGGATTTAAATGGGCTAAATACATCGTAGGAGGTAGTGGAGAGAATACACTGATAGTACAGTTCATGAAAACTCCAGAGTCGTGTCCGGGGGGACTACAACAGTTTTATCAGAACTGGGCTCTTCTAGACTTAGATGTGAAATTGAACAGTGAAAAAAATTTCCGCATTATGGAACCACATCTCATTTACGCAAAGAACATAAAAACAGTGGAAATTCATCGTCCACCCAGTGGCTGTCGCAGTTTAGTGTCTTTTAGTGCTAAATATTATAGTGGGGCGAGTCGTTTTATACTTGACGAGACGAACCTTTTCGAAGGTCCTGACGAAAGTGAAAGGGACGTAATAGTCTTGTTGAGAAGTCTGAAGAAAACCAACAAAATAACTTTTGGTGTTGACGTAATGAACACTATTTCGTTTAAATATTACAGCGATTCAGAATACAAAGTTACCAAAATAGAAATTGGCACCGGTCCTGGTTCAGATTCCGGTAGAATATACACGTCGGAAGGACCTGGTGGAATAATGGAAAACGCTAGAAATGTTATCGGTACGCCATCGTGCAAGGAAATCATTGGCAATGACAAGGCAAACCTTCTGATGGCTGTTGGAGGAGAAAACTACCATTGA